AATTCTGTTCAAGAATGAGATCAAATGTAACTATCCATAACAAAGGGCCAATGACTGAACCCTGTGGACATCCTCTTACCACATTCCTCCTCACTTCAACAGTACCTTTTTGCATAATTGCAGTTCTGTCGGAAAGATAGTTTTGTAGTATTCTGTATATATTAGCAGGGCATCTCTTCTCTCGCAGTTGATATAATGTTAATGGCCACCAAGTGCTATCAAAGGCCTTGCTAATATCAAGGCTGATAGCAAGCACAAATCTGTTATTATTATTTAATAGATGTCTTATAATTTTGGTCGATTCATATATAGCATCTGTTGCAGACCTTTGATGTCGAAATCCATACTGGGAGTTATGGAGAAGTTTATTTGTTTCAAGGTGCCATATTAGTCTATTCGCAATGAGTCTCTCTAGCGTTTTTCCCAGGAGTGGGAGAAGAGAGATAGGTCTTGATTCTTCAGGTTGCCCTGGCTTGGGTACGGGAATTATTCGTGCAATTTTCCATTTGTCTGGGAAATATCCTATAGAGAGGCAGGTATTAAAAAGCTCTTCAAGTTGTTCTGGAATGATATCCCAGATTTTTCTCACGATACTAGCAGTCATGCCATCCACACCAGGGGCTTTACCATTCCTGAGCTGAGTAATTGCATTATGTATTTCATGTTGTTGAAAAGGCGAAGCTTCAGATGTATCAATGTTGTCATATCTGCTTTGTCTGAGCACGCGTTGCCAGAGATTATCCTCAGTATGAGAATCAGAAATGCAGAATTTATCTATTTGTTTATTGAGTATATCTATAAAGTTTGTAGCTATGGAGTCGTCGTTAATTAAAACTTGTGGGCGATGCAGCTTGTCAGTACAAAGCCTGGTGATATACCCCCAAGGGTTTTTTGATGCCCTGCTGCAGTATTCTTTCCAAGATGTAATTTTAGTTGTCTTCAATTCTTCCTTGTATATTTTCTGCTTGTCTAAGTATATGTTTTTAAGCCTAGTTCTCGTGGGTTCACGTCTACATCTTTGGTATGCTCTTCTGCATTTGTTACATGTTTTTCTTAATTCGCTAAGTCTAGGAGTCCACCAAGGAACAGGTCTTCTTCTCATAATAGTTTTCGGTATGAATAGTTCACAGGCATGATTGATCGTAGTAATATTTTGAGCAATTTGCCTCCTAGCCCATGTTAGATCCTCCATGTTGTAAAATTCAAGGTTCGTATCTAAAAAGTTTTTGAAAGAGCTCCAATCAGCTCTGGATGGATTGTAACGAAGCTGTGAATCATATACAGCAGATAATTCAGGAGTTTGTGAGGAAAATTTGTATACAATGTACGAATGGTCGCTCAAAGAGTCCTCTTCCAGCACCTGCCAACCACAAATCCTCTGCACGCAGTTGCTGCTGCAGACCGTAAGATCTATCCAAGTTTCTCCATGTATACTGGAATAAGTAGGCGGAGAAAGAGGATTGTTTATTATTGAGAAATTATTGGTTGAGAAAAATTCCTCAAATCCCTCACCCCTATGATCGAGTTGATCTCCTCCCCAAGTTGGGGAGTGAGCATTAAAATCTCCTGCCACAATGATGTTTTCTCCTTGAAATTTGTCTATTATGTTTTGTAAATCACAAGTGATATCGTCAAGAGGATTATCACCAGGGCAGTATACGTTAACTATTATAATTCTATCACTGGCAATACAAGTCTCCAAACAAACAATATTTTCATTACTAAAAGATTTATGTAACAAAATTGGTAAATTATTGTTTACCACAATAGTGGCAGCCCATGGATAATCATTTGTACCTTTTAAAATGGTACAATTAGTAGCAAGACAACTAGGAGAATCAATACGACAATAAGGTTCCTGTGTTAATATGATATCAAAGTCTGAAAATTTAATGTTAAGGAGAGAGGAAGCCGCCATGCTCCTTCTAAGGTTTATTTGTAGTATGCGTATCATTTTGTTTATTAAGGGTTCCATAATCAGTATTATTTATTAACTTCTCTTTCACTCTGTTGTACACAGGACAGGAACCACTTCTTGCATTATGGGCACAATTTAGGGCCCTTTCATATTTACAATTGCAGCATATAGGGGTGTTATTTCGTTTGGGGCATTTATTATATGAATGGTCTTCAGTACAGTGACTGCAGATTTGTTTAGGCAAATCACAATTTCTAGTCGAGTGACCAAATCTACAGCATCTTAAGCATTGTAGTACAGGGCAAAAATCGGAGACTCTGCATCTCGACCAATCAATGTTTAATTTTCCCTCTTTCAAAATTTGTCGCCTTAATTCAGGGGAGGTCTCTACTACCCAGTTTATATATCTTCCTCCTTTCTTGCCTACATTAAATTTAATTTTAAAGAATTCGTGGATATTTTCAGTTGTGTACTTATGTTTTAAAAACTCATTGTGCTCCAGAATTAATGTTGGTATGTCTTCTCTATCCACTGTACTAGGCACTGAATGTATCATTACATGTGGTCTCCTTTTTTTAGGGCGTCTAGTAATTAAATTGGGGATCTTTGTATTGATGCAATTTTCCAAGGTTTGGGCATCTTCCACACGATCTAATTCAATGGCCAATCCCCCTCTCCCTATGTTTCGGACTCGTTCAATGCCAATATTGATTTCAGATGGCCTGATATTGTCCTGCAACATCTTTCGTACTTTGTCACTATTATTTAATTCGTCCGTTTTTCCATATACCAGTATTACATCTTTAGGTTTTATTTTGTTCATTGCAGCATATGTTTTCGTAGGTGGCCTCTGAAGAATAGCACTATATGTCATTTGTTTCTCCTTCATATTGTCTTGAAATTCTAATTTTGTGATTTTTTCTAGAACTTTCTTTTGTATTTCTATGTTCTCATTAATAGATACCTTATTCAAAATTAAGTCTACTTTTTCGATAAGAGCTTCTAACTCATGTTTGTATGGTTTATCCGTAAAAATATCAATCACACGCTCAACACAGTTTATAATAAACTGCGAGTGTTTTGGTGTACTGAATTTTCCACTGTTATTTTCATTAATATATAGTTTAAGTTCGCTAACCACCTCTAAAGCAGATGCTCTCTTCTCTTCCATAGTGGTGTTAGGCCTACTTATAATGTCCATCTCATTTATATTGTTTATATTATCCATTTAGATACGAACAACGTTATATTAGTAATAAAATAAAATTATATATAAATAACTATAATTAAATTCTTAAAAAAATATATATAAATAAATAAATAAATAAATAAATAAAGCGCTTCTTCGCTATGATGCAAAGATAAAGATGGCCGTTTCTATAGCAACGAGATGGAATAGCTAATCTATATAACTGAAAATTTGATCGAACGTACTTAATTCAAATTTGGCTGAGGATATCTGCACCAAATTTTGTGGACATATAACATTTAATGTCCCCTCACGAATACCCGAATAATTTCCTTCTAAACCAAGCAGGAAGCCCAGTATCCTCTTTCGAAGTTTACCGGAAATAAGCAATATCTTTGTTACCGGAGGTCCGAGTAAGCCAAAAGTTAAGAGATGAACTTACAGTACGATGGAGACCTAGCTCCTTTCAGGCATTCCGGATAAATTGCACACTTTTCCGGTAACTGACCAAAAGTTGTAATTGTTCTGTTAGTCGTATCTTTCCGAAAAATCACTCAATATCCACAAGAATGATATTGTTGGGATCCTTGTAACTTCCGGAACAAAAAAATATATAACACTTATATCCCAAGTAAGAGAATCACTCAGAATCGCAATTCTAAAACAAAGCTAAATTTGTAGCATCCATCCATGCCAATTCTGGAACAGCTCAGCAAACCGCGGCTGCAATTTCTGATGTTATTTTTCTGCGAAAACTTCGCTGAACTTTGGAGACATCATTAACCCCTTCATGTCAACATAGTTCAGACTAAGTATGTATTAGAAATTCTCACTCTTTTTTATTATTGTGTAAAAAAATTTATAAGAAAAAAAAACATTTTTTTTCTGTTAATTTTTGTGAAGGTGTTGAAGTTGCCTCCTGAATGGTTCCTTTTCCTCATGGATAAACAACTTTACAGGGGCAACGCCTGCGATCGATGCTTTCCTGTAGAAGTTCGCTACATTGCAGGAAAGCTGTCATTCTTGAAAGTTCGATATTTTTAGTTTAAAAACTAATTACAGAAAATAAACATGACAAAACATGAAATTAACATAAATTTAATGATATAAAAATAGATTTTACTATTTAAATGTAATAATAATGAAATATGAAAGAATAAATTTATAAATTTCTACTTATAATAAGGTAATGTGGAAAAATGAGTTTACATTACATATCTAAATAAAAGTATAAATAAAACTTGAACTACAACTAAAAATTATTGTATAAAAGTTAAATATTTAATTCAATATGGTTGATTTTGAAACACGACACTGCGCGTAATGCAACGTACAATTGCTTTGAACCAGTTCACTTGTTGTGGCGATGTAGGCACTGATTGGTCTTTATTTACATAAACTAAGTGTGTTTCAACGAATAAGATATTTGTTCACACCCCGTATTTATAAATTTATCTACAAAACTCCTCCTTCTTATGCTAGTGTATGGGAGGCCCTTGTTTTGTTTATTAGACGATAAAATCCACGTTCACATGCCTGCTGAGCTCAGAAAGATATATTATAGAGAAATGAATAGTTTTCAACGAATATGCATCGACTCGGGTTTCTAGGGAAAAATTTTCATCGAAGAAGCCACGCATTCTTGGAGATAGTTTGTCAGCTAAAAACGTGTACAAACAATTATAAATAATTATTCTCATCTATTTTTAGTCTGAGTTTAGTAAATTTATATGTAACTTTTATATATGTAACGAATATGCTTGTTTTCAGAACATTCCTGCCATAAATCCTTCTAAAACACAAAGTACTTTCGGTTATACCTCGTTCACACTGAGCATTTCAATCTAGATTGTGACCAAGGTCAAAGACTGTTCGGTGGTGCGACCTCTCTCGACCGTTTCAATCTCAAGAGAGTTCTTGAAACTAGATCCAGTCATAAGAGAGATCCCACAATACCATGCGCACGAGAAAATACAAGGTGGCTGTGGAACACGTGTCGAGCTATCAATAGAGAAATAAAAAAGACAACTGGAGAGACGATGACATCTGTCTATTATTAGATATATGGCAATAAAAACCAAAAAGTATTTATTTCTAACCAAATCTTCCATTTTGTTTGTTGGTGTTCATGACTTATTGCGTAGTTATGTCAGTTTTATCATCGCGTGCAATAGCCGTGTTCTTCTTGAGCGGACTGCCTATGCAAACAGCACGACGTTCGACTGGCGACAGAAACGTCACAATCCTGTCACAATCGAGATTGTAGGCAAATCAAGATCGAAGTGAGTCATGGATTGTGTGCGAACGTAGTATTATAGTGGTACTTCAATAATAAGTAAAAAATACATGTATAATCAATCGTTCATGTAATAAAGTAATAATCACTTACAATTGTGCATTGTTATTATAATAGTGTAAATAACATATAAACAAAATCAAATATACACCTTAGTTGTATTGCAAAATGTATGTCAACACACCTCATTGTATATGAAGTATGTTGACCAACATTTCGCAATACAACTACCCTCTCCAAAGTCGATGGCATTATCACTATAGGTTGTAGTATCTCTGTATGTCGATTTAGAAAGCTGCAGTTTTTTTATTTTGAGAAAATACACATATTTATGTAACATATAACAGATTGATCGAATGTTTAGAAAGGAGGGGTTTTTTCAATCTTTGAAAATATTGAACTTAATAAATTTTTGTAAAACGTATATAATATTTTACAGTCAACAATCATAAACAGTGATACATTATTCATAGTTATATATTATCATATAAATAAAAGCATTTATGTAGAACTTATAAAGATCTGTTTGCAATTATGAAGTCTTAGATGAGATATGAAAAATAAAGTCATTAGAGTTCAGTAATTGAAAAGTCTTTCTTGTTCTGTAACTACAAAACGTTTCTGATATCATTTCTAAATATTATATATATTTGTGATAGTTTTTCGTAAAACTTTTCATTCATATAATAAAGATGTTAGAGAGAAGATATGTTATTCATATTTCTATATAATTATTTACATAAAAAAGCATTTGTATAGAATTTTTGAATATCTCTGTGCAATTATAAAGCAGTTAGACAGGACAACTGCAATAAAGTGACATTTCTAAAGAGATTCTAGTTACCAAGTCATTAGGCTTGGTAATTGGAAACTCTTTAGTCTATTGTCCTGTAAATAGAAAGGTTTCCGATAACATTTCAACTTATTATATATATTTGTGACAGTTTTTCGAAACATTTTCATGTATATTATACAATAAATATTTTAGTAGAAAAATACATTTTATTCATATTTTTTTACATTTATTTACGTATCAAAGCATTTATATAGGACCTTTGAACATCTGCAAGTAATTAGCAATTCTCAGATGGGAAACCAGCAATAAAATAGATGATTGGAGATGTTTATTGTCCTGTATATACAAAGGTTTCCGAAAATGAGTTCTCAATTGTTACCATTTATGACTGCAATAAAAGATGTCAGATGATGGTTCTTAGAATTTCTGACCCTTTGTTCTTCTTTGAATAATTCTGTAATTTTTCTCACTCATAGTTCTGCTTTTGAGTTGTTCGGTCTGCTTATTTTGTGTTGAAAATTTTGAAATATTTTTGTGTGCTTTTTTCACTCGTGTTGTTGCTACTTATCAAGTAAGTTACTTATCATTATAATACTTTAGGAAAATAGTTTTCTCGTGCATAATATAAAAGAACGGATTTTAGATAATTTATTTCGTTGGCAGAATGTCTTCTGATTCCGATAACAAATATATCCCAGGATCATCAAGTGGGTCTGAGGGGAGTTGTAGACCAACTCCCCTCAGACCCCAGTTAGTGGGCTGACAGGATCAGATGTTAGTGAACAGGAAATGGATGTGGCATCATCTAGTACAAAACACTTGTGCCTAATAGATTTGAAAAATCCATCTTTGGCTCCTCCGTGTTTTCCTTTTGTGGGAAATCCCAGAATGAAAGTAGACGTTGGGAATACGTCAGACCCTTGAGTATTTCCAATTATTTTTTGATAAGAATAAAATCAATGGTATTGTGGATGAAACAAATAGATTCCAATCTCAACGGCCACAAACATCACGCAGTAACTGGACACCACTTACTGCAGAAGAATTTTTTGTGTTTATTAGTGTTTGCATTTTACAAGGTATTATAAAAAAACCCGAGGAGAGGATGTATTGGACACAAGACACCAAATTACACACCCCATTTTTTGGCAGAGTAATTTCGAAAAATAGATTTAGAGATATAAAAAAACATTTACATTTCATAAATAATGACACCTATAACCCAGACACACACCTCAATCCTAAACTGCACAAAATTTGGCCGATAATTGTAGACCTAAATTCAAAATTTTCGCGATTTTATATACCGAAAAGAGACATATCCATCTATGAGAGTTTGTTGCTATACAAGGGTCGTCTTGCGTGGAAACGATATATTCCTCAGAAACGGTCTCGTTTTGATGTGAAATTTTATAATTTACGTGAGTCGTCATCAGGATATTTATATAAATTTCTGATTTATACCGGCAAGTCGACTATATTGGATGATAAGTATAAAAATATGCCAGTCAGTTCACTGATTGTGCTAATGTTAATTGATTCATTGTTAGATAAGGGCTATTGTCTAACAACTGATAGATTTTACTCTTCCCCACAGTTGGCAAATTATCTTGTTACGTGCAAAACTGATTTTTATGGAATCATACACACAATAAGATGAGAGATTCCGCCAGCAATCCATAGACAAAAATTGAAAAAGGGAGAAACAATTGCTTTCCAGAGAGGTAAGCTAATGGTTATGAAATGGCAGGACAAGCGAAGTGTAGCTTTACTGTCTACAGTCCACAATCCTGCCATAGTAACCACACGAACACATGCCGGTAAGTCTGTTGTAAAGCAACAGGTCATTCTCGACAACAACGACACAATGGGGGGTGTTGACCTGTTCGA